AAAAAAAAAACTGAAGAAGAAAGAGAGGGGGAGAGCTCACTTCTTTCAGTTTTTTTTTTTGCGCTTTGAAACACGCAGGCGTGCTTCTCCAGGCGGTTCATCATAGCGTGAAAACAGCGCAGGCTGATTAAACTCTTGATTATTTTTTTTTTGTGTGTGGTAAAAGCGCCTTTTAATAGCACATAAAAGACTGCCTGTTGTGTCCAAGCTTGGGCAACGTGAGGGCTGGCATGCCGAGAAATTGTCCTAGCCCCCCTCCCTCCCTCTCCCCCCAGTCACGGTGGAGCGCCCCGGCTGAAAGGCCAGGCTCTCGGCCGCTCTGCGAGCTGTGAGCGGCGGCGGGGCCGGCCTGGTGTCCGGGTGGACCTGCGGCGCAGCTGCTCGGGGAGAGCGGTCTCGAACTGGGAGGAGGTCCGCGGTAGATGGTGCCCACACAGAGGCCGTCATTGTTGAGAAGCCGTAACCCCGAGTTCAGTCGCTGAAAGCCTTTGCTTGTTGTTGTAGGATGGGCGAGACCAGGGTGTGGGCTAGTATATGAAATGAATTCGGATCGCGTTTGTCTCCAATATGCTCCTCGCCCCCTTCTCGTGTGTGTTGGTGGCTGGCGTTTTGTTTTCCCTTGTATCGGTGTCCGTTATCGCGTTAGTCACCTACAGACTTGACACAAGTTCTGGGTCTACCCAAGTTTATCAGCGTATTATCAGCCGTGACTTTTTTTTCCCTTGCAAAAAGCTATCTAAATTCGTCACGTAGTTAAGACGTAAGCAAAAAAACAAAAACCAAGCTGTTGAAACCTCCTACTGTCTATGTTTTGAATATAATCTATTTGAATACATGATGTATTATTTGAATGGTCTGTTGAATTGCAACGTCGAGAGGTGCAGATTTACAAGATACCTAGCAAGGGCAGAGACTACAATAGGAGCTGGTTTAGAAATTCCCGCAGTACTCAGATGATGTAGAAAATAAGACAAAAAAAAACAGGTGTAAAACATTTATAGAAGCCTTTAGATGTCTTTTTGCTTCCATAGGGACCTTTTGTTTGAGTTACATAAATTTAATAAGTTTCACTTTTTGGAAAGTAGCGGAAATTTAAAGTGAAATCTCACTAGTCGTGTTAAAGCTGTGCGCTTTGGTGAATATACTCTAAAGAAGAACATGTTTCATTGTTCCTATCCAGGCAGTGTGTGGATTGTGTGCAGCAAAACTTTGTAGCTGAGGGGGGGGAGTTTGACAACGAATGCAAAGCAAGTTTGACCCCTTGGTGACCTTGTTATTCTTCTTCCATGTCTGGCAATCATTGGACATTTTAAGTGAATGGTGACGCCGGCTCGGTTGCTATGGGTGAAGTGGACAGGGTTGCCATGGCGATCCTTCTGTGGAGAGTTGCCATAGCACAAACATGGGGATAAATTATGGGATGCATGTGTCATGAGTCATATGATTGTTGTTCGCAGATCAAGTGATTTAAACCACTGGCAGTGGGGCTGCATCACATCTGCGAAGCTCACATGGCCGCCCAGGGCAAAGAAGGGAGCACGTTCTTTTTGAGGCAAATATCACAGTGCGCCACTGTCAACCGCCAGGGGTCACCCCTTCAGCGTGGTGCCTCCCACAACAGCCTGGAGGGAAGGATTAAAGGGCAGAGCTGGTGGCTTGTGGTTCGGCACACAAAAACCAACTACTGAGAAAACCAGAACCGACCACTGTTCGGACTGAACTGTTTTTTGGACCTTTGTTGGACCTTAAGGCCCATCTTGAAAGGCTAATAAAGACAGCTAGGAAAAGATTACCTAAGAAAGGAGCATGCCTGACAACCTTACATCCTCATTGGTTGAGGCCTGACCTGCGCAGGAAATGACCTCACGTCCTGTAGCAAAGGTCTCGGCTTCCTCTCCCCAGGTGTCAGCCTGCCCCCCGTCTTGCCTGCCGTTCATTTCTTCGGGTTCAGCCGCGAACGGCAGCCTGTAGTTTCGAAGCCCGTGTTCTGCAGACGCCAAAGCAAAGCCGTCTTTCCTCAGAAGGGGCCGTGCCGGATCAGTGAGCTTCTTAACGCGCGACAAAGTTGCTCGGCCGTTCCGGACGTGGCACGCGATGCGCAGGACTCGTTAAAAACCACGCACTTTCAGAACCAAGTATCGTGCGGCAGCCTCGGGCCTTCAGACAGACGTTCACGTTGCAGTCGGTGTGGCCCTGGGACAGGCTAGCCAAATCGCGTGGGTCTGTCTGCGGGTCCGTCTGAATTGATTTTGCTCTGCTCCTCAAGGACCCGGCCAGTTTCTGGTCTGAGTGCGAAACCTCACGTTGCAGGCGAAGGGACTTGGTGATTCTGTTTGTTACGGCCTGTTAAACCAGTTCTGCATTTCTTAACTCCAGGCGATTTATGACTCTTTTTTTCTTAGCGAAGTAAAGCCGAGCGTCGCCGGAGGTGAAAAACTGGAAGCAGGAGGTTTACTTCTTTCTCTTTTTTCCCCCTCTTTCCCGGGCCTGTCTAGGTGTCCCGCCTGTGTCTGGGAACCACAAGAGCGCTGTCCTCCAGGGCTCCGGCGCGGAGAGGGGGGAGGAGGATGGGGGGCCGCAGGGAGAGAAGAGGGGTGCCGCCCCGGCCTGTGAGGAGCAGTTCCCCTGCTCGCGCTCGGCTGACGGGCAGGAGAGACAGGCGGGGGAGCACATCCGCCCGGCCGCCCCACCTGCGCCCGCCAGGAAACGCAAGCACAGCAGGGAGGGTGTTTCGGGCGAGAGCGCAGCGGAGGAGGAGGAGGAAGAGGAGGAGGAGGATCGCTCCACCGCCGCCGCCAGGGGGAAGAGAAAGAGGATGCTGGCAGGTAAGAGCCCCCGTTGTCCTCCGCAGTCCGCCCCCTGCCTCACGCCCTCATTGTCCGGACCTCCGCCGCGCTGGCGGGCCGGTAACAAACCCCCACCGCCCCCAAAAGAACACAACTCGCAGGGCGTCTTCCTTCTTCTGAGGAAGGGCGCTGCCCTCTATCCTGCGCTGCTTTGTTACACGAATCCAGCTTCTTCTTTTCAGTTTTTGTTTGTGTCTCATGTTTTGGGTTTTTTTTTTTTTTGCCCCTCGGCTTCTGCTTTGACTTTTTTTTTTTTGCACCGTTCCGTTTCCAAAGGAGGGGGGAGAGAGAGAGAGAGAAATAAAAGTCACAGATCAGCTCTCGGCGCACACGCCAGGCGCAGTGGGTCGCGGGATTTTAGGAAGCTGCCAGCCTGCTCTGCCAGGCGAGTCGGAACAGACACTCCTCTAGACTCGGGACTCGGGACAAAGCCAGCTGGCCTTTGTGTGGGCGTGTTTTATCACCATGACGTCGCAGAAGTGTTCGGCAAGTCAGGGGCAGGGATTGTCGTGGAGTCCGTCCCATTAACGTGACAATATCCCTCTTGTCATAGAGGTTTGTTACACCAGACCCTGATGTGTGGAAGGGTTCTGGTTGTGCTTAAATATATCGCTTCACAGTTTAATACCTTTTGATAGCCATGTTTCATTCTAGCCCCCTCCCTTGAAATGCATGCATGCACCTGTAGTGGGGTTTTTTGTGTCGTGCTGCGTCGTCTGCCCTGTCAGAGCGCGAGCTGCCTCACTTCTTGCACTCTGTGTAACGAAACCCCTGTAAGAAATTTCAGTGGCGCTTCACTTTTCATTTTCCGTGATAGGGGAATTCCTCCCCCCCCCCCCACCCAGAAACGTTTAGTTTGCAATTAATTTAACCCCAGCAGTGCCCTCAGGCTGGTTTTTATCAATCCGTTTCTTCTCTGCAAATGTGCCTGAGCCAAGATAATTAGCTGTGCTCCGTTTATTTGGCTTTGATGCCTTCAGAGGGCCAAAAAAAGAAATCTCCGTGCCGCGCAGCGATCAGAAACCGAGAAGCCGACCCCCGTTTGAAGACGGTCCCGTCTGGCACTTAAGGGTTAAAGAGACGGTGTTTCTTTCCCTCAGCCTTGCAAAAGAGAGAGAAAAAAAAAGAGCTTTTCCGTTGTGTTAGATGTCTGTCTGCATGGTGCTTTGAAAGATACTGAAGGGAAAAACTCCCCCCCACCCCCGTACACAGGCAGAGGAAAAACGCGAGAGCTGCTGTTTAGAGTATTGAGGATCTGTCTCGGCATGGAGGGTGTGTGTTCTCCATTAATCCAAGTTGTCTCTTTAGATGACTGGCCCGAGAAGGAAATTACCAACCCTTCTTCTGAACACCTCTTGGAAGATTCCTCTTGTAAGCAAGTGAAAAACCTCAAAGTGTGTATCGAGCTGACCGGCCTGCGGCTCCGCAAGCAGCGCCCCCTGCAGGAGCTCCGGCAGCTCTGGGAGCAGCAGGTCTCGCCCCAGAGGTCGGTCCTCGCGGCCGCCCCGCCCCCGCCCCCGCCCCCGCCGCACGGCAGGAAGGACCCAGCCGAGCCCTGCCCGCCAGAGGTCACGGCACGGGACAGAAAGGTCAAAGGCAGCTTGGTGGAAGAAAAGCCCACCAAGAAGAGGTCAGAGGGCAAAGTCAATAGAAGCTGGTCTGAAGAGCCTCTCTGTAAAAGTGACATTGAACAAGGTACGCTGGCCAGGCCGCTGTTGTTTGGGCGCGTTTTTTTTTTTCCCTTCTTCCTTTGTTTTTTTTTGTCCGAAGCTTGATTTATGTGCATGCAGAGCGATGCAGATTTTTAATGTGAGTGGAGGGGGGACGCCTGGAAAGGTCTCTTCGTTAATGATGACAGAGCCCGGCGGTGAAGCTGGGAGGTGTTTACTTTTAAGCGCTCTCCTCATCGGCTTGCGTGCGTGCGTACTCCTACTTTCTCGTTATCCACACGCGAAAGGGCCGACCTCTCCCTCCCTCCAGAGAGGACGATGGTGTGGTCTCCCGCAGAGCCTTAAGTTTTTTTTTTCTTCTCTCGAGTACAGTTTCTGCCGGGCTGCTTTCTCTGAATGGGGAACAAGGCCGTCCACAAGAAGCGGGAGACCGTGTTAGGTGTTTTCCACCCGAAAGGGGAAGTGGTGTGACCAATCGTTTCCTTTTCACGCAGTTAGGGGTAGCCTCGCCTCCTTTGCATAGGCAGATTTCCGAGAGCAGACTCCCCCCGACTGAATATCTTTTCCTTCTCTTCGGGGTGGGGGGGGGTTCGATTCGCTCTTTCTCTAGTGAGCAAAGCGCTGCCAGAGCTACGTCCTGCAGCAGTCGGAAAAAGCAACGGAGTTCCTTTACCTTTGCCGCACCACCAGAGGTGGGTATTTTAGGAGATATCCCCAAATGCGGATTATGGTGCTGAACCCTAGGAAGAAAACCCTAATCAGACAGGGGTCCTAGACGCATAATGGCCTGGATGGTGTCAGTTGCGAAATGGAGCTGGCTTCTCCTTGCTTTTCTCCTCTTGCCCGTCCTAGAGTTCCTCCCTCGTTTGTCCGCGAGGAAAAAAGCTTCCTCATCTCTGTGCTTTTGCCGAGACGCGCTGGTAGCTGGAGGACTGACTGCCGGGCAGACTAGTCACACCCTTCTGTCTTATCAGGGGCACAGCTCAGACAACACATGCCACAGAATAATGAGGCGTGAGATCTGAGACGCGTACAAATAGCTGATGTCTGAGAAGCATCAACAGGATGCCTTCCAGGTATCTCTGTGGCTTCTTGGCGTTTCTCTCTGCAGGGCCAGAGGGATTACGTGGAACAGGCCTGGCTTTTGAAGGTTTTTTTTTTTTTCAATCCTCGATGGGGGGGGAGATTAATCGCCCAAAAAGTAACCTACGAAGTCTCCTGCCTCCTAATGTTGAAGTGCATTCGTAGTTACATATGCCGGTACTTTGGAGCGATAAATCAGATTTATTCTGTGTTGCACGCTAATGGGAAGGTAATTTTCACCAGATGTTGCCGCTAAAATATGGCTGTAAGTGCATTAATGATTTCAATGGGTGGAAAGGAAATGCAGCTCAGTACGCAGATACTTAGGACTTTAGTAGTGAAAAGACGCGCTTTGTTCCCAGTTCTTTCACCTCCTGCCCAGCCGTGCCCCAGTGGTGAGACGAGCTTGCCTTCTAGCTCAATCTTAATTTTATTTTTCCCCTGGATTGTGTACAAATGCTAAACCGCGCTTTTAATGCAGTGTGATTCTCAACATCGCAGTGTGGCAAACACTTGACCCCAAGACGGTATCTCACAGTCTTTAATCCACTTTCAGTCACACCCTAACCCTCAGACACTGCCTCAGTCTCTGGTACTGGTATGTGGGTCGTTTAAGATACAGTATGGATACAGCGAACAGCTTGTGACCATTCTGCATGTGAAAACGGAAGAAAATGATCCTTTAACTACTTTCCCTGGAGGCATATGGGGTAGGGCATTAATTAGCCTTATTCAAGAAAGGATGCATTTTACTCAAGCTTATACTGCGATGTATACTGCACCCTAGGGAGTTTTTCCCTTTCTATATTGGGAGTCTTGGACAGCTCGTGTACAAGCCCCATACCAAAGATCTGCTCAAAGGCAGGTTTCCACAGACCGGGGCTGCACTGTAGAAAGGCACATGAAAAGCAAGTACATTCGTACTGAACTGTGCCTTGCTTTTTCAGGAAAAAAAGCAGTGTTGTCCACTTCTGTGATCTGTCTCTTGTTGCCTGGGTGGTGGAGTCAGAGTGGGTTGTGGGGCTGGTTATTGCTGCTTCTTGTGTACGTCTGTGTGTCTTTCCTTTGGTTTGAAAATGCGGAATTGTATTTGCGGGGCTCTGTGCATGTCTGTGTGAGCAAACAAGTGTAAAAGGCACCTTCGCATCTCCAGTGAACCCCACTTGCTGTCCCTGCTGTCAGCCTTCCTTCTCTTGGAAGCACACTTGCTTCTAAGCACATCCCAATAAATTATTTAGCAGCTAGAGGGGGTGAAAAACTCGAGACTGCGTTTCATGAAAGGCCTGCCTTAAACGTTTCAGGGAGCTGGATTACCATAGCCGACGGAAGCTCGGTTAACCCTTTCGTGTCATTCCTTCACGGTTAATGGCGCGTTCCGTTTGAGGCAGTGTGGGTCTGAAATAGTCAAGACTAGCCCAGTGAGGTCCCGGCATTCTCCCGGCCGCGGCTGTGCAGCGTCTTATTTTGCTTTCTTATCGTTCTGTCTTTGTCGGAGAAGCGGAGGAATTCAGTTCTGCTCCGGCTCCGAGAACATCACGCCTGTTTTGTTTTTTTTTTTAATCTGCGAAACCACATTTACGTGCACAACAAAAACCTTCATAGCCGATATGAACATCAAGAGCTGTCCCGTGTCCCGGTCGGCAGTCACGTGCTTCAGCTCAGAATGAGACTTGGACCGGGTGCGTGCTGCTCTTCCACGCTGGGGCTTGGTTCTTGCTGCCTGAGTGGTCTCGGTGGGATATGTGTGATGACGGGGCTCCACGTCCTGTTGGGCTGTGCTGCTGGGGTGACGAGTGCAGCCCTGGATCTAGAGAGCTGCAGGAAGGCTTACCATCTCCATTAAAGCGCCGAGTCGCGAGGGCTAGGTGTTAACGCGCCACTCTGCTGTGTTTTTATGCAAAGGTCTGCCTGTTCCTCCTGTGACCTCCCCGCACGCGGACTGCCTGGACTCGCCCCCCCCGGACGCGGCGGTCTCCAGAAAGCCCCCCCTGGCGGCGGCGACCCGGCTCTCGGACAAGAGGCAGCGACTCAAGGAACATCGGAAGGCCAGCGGGCTGGGACCGCCGTCTCCCGGCTCCGGGAAGGACGCCGAGACGACCCCCTGGCTGCGGAGGCACTCGGACCTGGAGAAGCCCAAGGGCAAGAGGCAGTGCAAGACCAAGCACATCAGCCTGAGGGACAGGAGAAGGGCATCCCAGACGGCAGAGGAAAGCGCCGATCTGGAAAGCCCAGTGGAACAGAAGGTAGGCAGTCGGAAGGGTTTTTTTTTTCCATTCTTTTTAATGTTGCAGGCAGCATGTTCTGTGCTTCAAAAACCGGGCAGGCAGCAGGTTCCGGGAAGCTGGAGGTTACTTGGAACGGACGTGCAGCGTTTAAGTCTCACTTAAACTCCGAAACGATTCCAAGCAGTGGCGCAAACCCACAGCACCGCTGTCTGGAGAGCCACATCTGGAATTGCACTCGAAAATCATCTGGAACGCAGTACCTTAATCGGCACGGCTTTTCCCCCTTTTCTCCATGCTAATAAAAACATGGAGCACACAAGGAATGGGGGGGGATGAGGGAAGATGTGCTCCCCGAGTTCCGAACAAGCCACGCGAGTGATCGGAGCTCCGTAAGCAACGATTTGTAATCGCTCGGGCGCCAGCCAGCGCTTGCAAGCATGTGGTCGCTCTCGGGAGCTGCTGGCAGCGGAGTGGCGAACCTCGTGCTAATGAGTTGCTTCTTCGCTGCCTTCCGAGTGAAAGCAGCGCGCGCCTCCCCTTTGTGATCCAAAAAGATTTTGAAAAAGACCTCAATCGTGAACGTTAAGTGCGAGAGCAGTGCTAGTTGAACACCTGCATCCACGGAAAAGGAAAGCCATGCGTTTTCAAAGTGAAATTAGACGTCCCGCATTAAGGAGAGCTCCCGATGTCCAGCGTTTTCAACGGAGCACAACTGCGGTTCAAATCAGGTTTCCAACGCCGTTATGGGTTAAACGGGCTTTTGTAGGCTGGCCTGGGAACCTGACCACCATTTGTAACAGTGTTTCTATGGGAAACTGCATTCCGAGTTCAAAACACCCGTCTTGAAAACGAGTTTTTGGAACACATCCCGTTTGTAAGTCAGGGACTTCCTGTACTGTACTGGGATTTTTTTTTTGCTCGGGCGATGACATGGGGTTTCTCGGTAGACAGAGGGAGGAAGCGCCTTGAGAACTGTTCTGTTTTTCGAAGCGGCTCTGAGTCACCCCAGCCAGGCTGACCTGGCCTCGCAGTGCTGACAGCTGGTTTGCCACGTTATTCCACAGGGGAGGGCAGACAGCTGTCCTGGCCCAGCAGCCAGCGCTGCAGACCTGTTCCTCTTCGGAGAGCTTTCTCTCGCCGAGCATGTTTCCCGTTGAACTTCTCTGGACATCAGCAGTATCGCTGAAAGACGCCTCTTCTCCTGCAGTAATAGGAACATTCCTGGATTTAATATCTGAACTGAACCTGAAAAACAAAATAAATGGGAAGACGATTTTCCCCTTGTGTATAGCCTCTCCTACAGCTGTAACAATCAAAACACGCTCGTCTGTCTGAAAGGTTATTAAAACGCCTCTTTATGGTCCCACGGATCTATATTCATTAGGCCAGAGCATTTACAGAGGACTGCCTCGTGCTGTAGCCCTGCTGGGACACATCTGCATGGCTTAGCTGAACACCATAGCGCTGCAGCACCAGAACTGCATAGATCTAAGTAAGTGTGCGGAGTGGCTCATATTTTTATGCTTCTCCTCTTGGTGAAGAGCAGTGACATTTAATTACGTATGCTGTGCCTATGGGCTTCCAGCACAGGGTAGCTTTCTGAACTTGTGGCTGTGAATAATTAGCACATCTTCACTTTCATCTTTAGACCAGCAGAGATGATAACCCCAGCCTCACAGAGTGCCAGGAATGGGCTGTGCTCAATTGGTTGTTTTTATTTTTATTGTAGCTTCCAGTTGAGTAGAAAAAATGATTTTAGGTTTTACTTTTACTTTATTTAAGCGTCTTTTACTTGAAATAAGAGGTGTTCTCTTGCGTCAAATGAATTCATTATGATGACTTGTCACTTTGCGATATTCAGAGTGACCGATTCGACGGCTGCACACAAAAACGTCCAACTTCTTTGGCCCGAAACAGCGGGTGGAAGTTTTAAGTCCGCGTTCCCTTTCCACGAACAGGTCAGCCTGAAGAGGTCCACCAGGAAGAGGTCGGCGTCCGTCTCGGACTACGAGTCCTCTCCCGTCAAAAGCTGCAACCCCGCGGGCTCCCCGGCTGCGCCCCAGACCCCCACCTCGCTGCTGCTGCTGCTGCCGCCGCCCGTCGGGAACCCCCCTGCGGAGACCCCCACGAGCCGGCCCATGCCACCTGAAGCGCGAAGGCTGATTGTGAATAAGAATGCCGGCGAGACGCTGCTACAAAGAGCTGCCCGTCTGGGTTACGAGGTAAGCGGCTTTGCTTTTCTCTCTCCCTCGTTTGCTAGCAAGCTCCCCTCACCCCCCCCCCCCACCACCACACACCCCGTCCGTCCGCTTTCCCCTCTCTCCTTAAATCTGCTCTTCCTCTTTCTTTGTGACTCAGATTGTCGTTGGTGGCACCCACTTCCTCCTTCACCGTGGAGCGGCTGGCTGCACTCGCTCTGCCCCCTCGCACTTCATTAATTCTCCGCCAGGCCCAGTGTGACATGTTAGCGTCCCCGACAGGCACGGAGCAAGCGCTTAGCACACACGCTGGAAAATATCACTTCTCCGCGTTAATCCCAGGCAGCCCTTAACCCCTTCCGAGCCCCGCCGCGGGCTCGAGTGTCTTCTCCCCCGGCGAAAGCTATCGACGGTCTGCAGAGCACGCTGCACAACATCTTCCCTGTCTCATTTTTCTACAGATTAATGACGCTGTGGATTAGTTACGGCAGGGGTTTGCGAAAAGCCCAACGTGCAACACAGGAAATGAACAATTACCGTTGCAGGCAGACGCTCGCAGAAGGTTCATGCTCCATAAATAAAAGAGCTCGGGAGGCTAAAGTAAAGGGCAAAAGTCTAAATTTATCTTAATGGTAGTTTGCTCCTTCTGTCTGGACCTAGTCCGGCGCGTTTATTGGTTTCTACGCAGGGTTTTCCCTCCCCCCACCTTCCTTTTCAGTACCTTATCCCCGACGGGGACGTACTGTGCCTCCAGGAACCAGGTGGGTTCCTGGAGGAACGGCGGGTTCTGCCATCCGAGTGCCGCGGGGGTTTCTCACCCGAGGGCGGAGTCTTAAACCCCGGCGTGATCCTCTCGGCACCCAGCTCCTCAGAACAGTGTTCCCCCCCTAAACAGGAATTTACCTCTCCAGCGACTGTGTGCGCGCGCGTGTAAAGTAGTCCGGACAAGACCGAACCGCCGCGTTCAAGTTCAAACGGGAGTGAAAAAATGTGCCCCCCCTCGTCTCCAGCCCCTGTGCGAGGTGTGCGTTCGCCGGCCTGGTGATCGGAGGTGGCCGGTACAGGTGCAGGCTGGGAGACTCGCAGTCGGCCAAGGTGACTGGCCCCGGATCAGACCCGCTCTCCCCCCACCCCACCCCCCCCCCGAGGGGGGAGAGGGGGGGCGTCTTGAAATGACGTTAACGACAATAAACAGCAACCTGTATTTAACAGGAGCTGGGAAATTATGACTGAAAACATCACGGATGAAAACTAAAATTAATGTAGTGTTTCAAAGGGCTTTTCAAAGCCGCCTGCCCCTTCCCCCCCTCGTCCTCCTCCTCCCCTCCGCTCCTACCCCCGCCCCTCTCTCCCGGTCGGAGCCAGCTGCCGCGGTGCGAGTGTGGAGCAGAGCAGCTGCTGCGCGTCAGAGAGCCGGGCCGCTCCGATGAGGCTCTGTTTACCGGGACAGCCTGGGCAGGGCCGCCCGGCCTCTGCATCGCACCGCGATGCCTCACAGCACACACACACACGCACACACACACGCACGCACGCCACCCGGCTCCCCTCCCGTCTCTCTCTCTCTCTCAGAGGTTTACTTCTTCCACCTCCCCCCGCGTACACACACACACACGTGCGCGCACACACACACACAGTGCTCTATCACTGAGAAAATTAACACCCCCTCCCTCCTCTTTCCCCTCCTTCCCTCTGCCGCTGCCTTAGTTCATTAAGTCACTCTGCCTCCTGTGACAAAAAAAGACTTCTCTAAATTAACCTCCGAAAAGAGAGCCTCTCAAGGTTTTTTTTTTATTCCTTTTTCTCCCCCCCCCTCCTCTCGTCTCCGCGTTTCCCTTCTCCTTCTCCGTGGCGCGGCCTTTGTCTCGCCTGTTCCGCTCCCTTCTGCCGAGATCCGACTTGAGCGTCGTGATGGTGATGTGTTGAGTGGGGGTGGAGGTAACACAGTCCCCCCCCCCCTCGGAAATTCTGCTTTCAGTCGAAATTGCTCTTTGCCATTAAAGCTCAATCAGTTATCCGACAAGTGCTCTCTGGCATCCAGGGCTTAATTAATCTTCTCGGTGATGGTGCTTTGTGGGGAAGGTGCTAAATAGGTGCTGTTTTAGGCCATTAGCTGCCTGCCTGTACCAGGACCCTGCTTTGTGAAATGGCCCTTGCGTCAGGCGGCCTTAATTGGTGCCACACTCCTGGAGAAGGCCGTGTCAGTCAGAGATCACCGTACGGGCCGCGCAGGGAGCCAGGGAGAGCGCGCGCCGCACACACACACAGCCCGTTTTATTCCTGCTGGAGGAGACGCATCTCGCGGCCGCGGACCCGTCACGGCAAGATACAGGCCGCTTGTTCTCCTGCCCGGTTGTCTCTGCCCCCTCGCTTTGAGGGCGTTACGCTGCGAGCGCTGTAGTGGCAGGCGCAGTTTTTCTTTATTCCGCGTGTCTATCAGAGGCACGGCCTTTTTGTGTTTGCGCGTGAACCTTTGAACTTACTCCCCCCCCGAGACAAGAGGACGGGGGGCCGGCTCAACCCGTGTTTCTCGGCTGCTTAGCTGTGCAGGTCTGACGTCAATGAGAGACTGGCGCGAGACTGGGCCAGGTCCTGTTTACCGTGTTTAGGAGTGGCCGTGCCATCTCTCCCTTTAAATTCTCCACTTGAGTCGGTGATGTGTACCGTACAGCACTTTCAAAGAAGGAGAGGGTCAGAGCCCTCTTTTTTTTTATCATTTCAGTCATGAGGTCATCCAGTCTGTAAAGCCTTTCCTTTTCATTATCTCTTCCTGTTGTTTAATGTTCTGGTGGCCAGCCGCCGAAGCCCCGCGGTATGGCGCGATTGAAGGGGAAGTTTTGTTAGTGGTCAGTACCTTGTTTTTGTAGTCTCCCTTTATTTCAGTTGGATTCAGACAGGAAGTGCCTTCCTAACTGCCTGTGTGTGATAAGCCCCCAACAGCTCCCTGAGGCTTCATGTGAAGCACAGCGAGATATGAACGCACAAAGAGGGGAAAAAAAACCCAACTTGGGCTTGCAAAATAGAACTCCAGCGCGTTGGAGTTTATTTTTAGGCTCCATAAGCGAGCTGTCTGGAGCAATCTGAAATCCTCTTCAGAAAATATCATTTTACATCACTCATGGGGTTTTTTTTTTTAAGAAGAAGCGTGGCTCTTGTGGAACACAAAAGTGAGGCACAAGAACTTAAGAGTGGCCGAAACCATCCGGCCGCCCACATCCGGGTGAGCGCAGGTCTTTTGGAAGATTCCAGACGTGTCCCTGGTCGGAATTCGCAAGCTTCAGCCACAGGAGCTCTGGGGCTTGGTTTCTCTCCACGCTGTGGTTTGGTCAGCACCTGTCTAGAGAGCACTGCTGCTTGTGAATCACTCTTTGTTAACGCAACGGCAGCTGGAAGAGTTTGTTTTTTTTGGTGTGTGGTAGTGGTGGTGGTGGTGGGAGGGGGGCTTTTTTTAGGTTTGATTGTTTTCCGTCTATATATACACAGGCTGTATAAAAATAGGCCGCTCGCTTCTCGCCTTTGTCTTAAAGCAAATTGCAATTTTCTGCTTCAGGGAAACAGTTGAACCTGCACAAACGGCGATGGCAGGTATCATAAAACATTCAGCCGCATTGGTAAGAAGAAAAATTTGAGAAGCGGTGTTCTTTTTGCCGAATTGCGGCGTTCATCATTTCAGCTTTTGTTTTTGTGAATGGGAAGGGCTCTGCGCGGTATTGCGCGGCTGGGAGTGTCTCGATGCCACAGCAGCCGTGCAGAGAAGAGGGGACGTCGCACGATGTCAGGAGGGAGAAACTCTCCTCCCCTCGTGTTCCCGCCGGCCTGGTTCAGGCTGGCATGGCCATGGGAGAGGGTGCTGGTCCGTCACCTCAACTCGAGCAGTCAATCCAGTCAGAAGCAAGAGGCCGCGCCGATACCGGTGGTGGCGTCTGGTTTACTTCTGGATGGAATAAGTTGGGATTTGTCAGCCGCTACAGAGTGTTTCACGAACACTTAACAGCCCCTCTTCCCCCACGCACACACACTCTCTCGCAATGTCCCCATCACTCCTCGTCCCTCAGACCCTCTGCGTTCTTCATGTTAATTTAGTTTCCGCGACGCTTGTCGCCGCACATGAAAGTCTGCGCTCGCCGTGGTTTAAAGCCCGCCGTCGCTGTGTTTAAAATGTTAATGAGGGGAGTCGCAAATTAAGTCTTCATGGTTTGCTTCTGGTCTCGGAGTTACCTGCTGTGGTTACTGGCAGCCCTGTTAATAACCCAGAAGCGAAGAGCTGCCAAAGCGAGCGAGCGAGAGAGAGAGAGCCTCTCGTCTCTCCAGCCCAGGACTGCACAGCGGTGCGAACTGCTGTCGAGGCAGCGCGCAGAATTCCTTCGCATCTCGTCTGGGAGCTGGGAGCCGAGTGAAGAGCCCCCAGGTACAGCCGGCTTCAGCTGTGCTCCTTGGGAACTGCACAGCCTCTTAGCCAGAAACACCCCCCCCTCCTCTTTTCCC